ACCATTAATCATTAACAGTACTGCCACAGCTGGTGCCGCTGCTGCTACTGCTGCTGCTATTCAAAACAAAAAGGCCTCAAGTCCTAGACCCGTGAGGGGCAAGAGCTCCATGTGTCCCTGAGCCCTGCGTATGAGCTTGAGTCAAGAAAACCTAACCTGGGGATGCATCATGCGCCAAATCCCCTTGAGATTGTTCAGGTTCTTACAGGAGCCATAGTCTAAACTCCTAGCATCCCCTTTAATAACCTTTTTAATGCTCCATTGTACAATCCCCTATATGACCCCCCCTGAAGAAGGTTTCACTATAGCTCACATTATGTCCAGCCAAATGTTGCCCTTAGGACTCCAAGCGTGCCCCGGGCGACTACGAGGGCTACGGCTTCCTTCGCGTGGGTGACTGGGCCAGATTGGATGCCTAGAGCTGTGGCCGTGTCAGGTGCTTCGCAATTTCTAGGATCTCAAGCAGTGAAACTGCTCAAGGAGGACAACTTAAAAGACGAATCCCAAGCCTAAACCTTATTCCCCCAAGCTAAATCTGGAACCCATGTAGACCCTGTTTGAAGGGCAAGACTTTGTGTGGGCCCACGTTTGGTGTTCAATACCTCATTAGCAAGAGGCCCATAACTCCTACCATATCACCACTTTAGGGTTCAAAGCGCTGGGTTCGGATGTAATCTTCCTCCACCTGCACCTCTACCTTCGTTACCCTCCTTTACACCAGAAACTACAGTGCTTTGGGTCTACAAATACACAGTGCTGTCTACTTAAGGAGGCTTGTAAGCTGCAACCAGCTCATGCAAATCTCAAAGCCAAAGCCTTACATCCCAAACCCCAAAAACCCTAAACCCCAAACCCCCAAACCCCCAAACCCCCAAACCCCAAACCCCAAAAACCATAAACCCCAAACCCAAACCCACAACAGATCCAGCGCAGGCAAGAACTTCATCATCAACGTCGACCCTATCGAGTTCCAGGACGACGCAGTCAAGAAGACCAAGCTCTCTGCCGAGCATCTCGGGCCTGAATGCTTTCGTGTTGAGGTTATAGGGATAATGGAAAAGAAAATGGAAACTACTATAGTATTATAGGGGTTACATGGGGATAATATTGGGGTAATGGAAAAGAAAATGGAAACTACTATATATTATAGGTGTTGTATAGGGATAGTATTGGGGTAATGGAAAAGAAAATGGAAACTACTATAGTATTATGGGGGTTATATTGGGGTTATATTGGGATAATGGAAAAGAAAATGGAAACTACTGATTTAGGGATAGTATTGGGGTTATATTGGGATAATGGAAAAAGAAAATGGAAGCTACTATTTATTGATTGCTTTTGTAGTATTTTATTTGGGGGTTATTATGGTACCCAATATAGGGTTTAGGGCCCTATAATGGAGAATCAAATGGAAAAGAAAATGGAGAATGAAATGGACACTTGTGTTGTAGGTGCTAAAGAATTGGGGGTTTCTCAAGAAAGGGGTACCATTTTAGGGTCCCAAGAACAAGGATTATAGTTTTTTGGGGTCTATATTGGAGTCCCCTATTTTGGAAAACTACCAATTCTTCGGATGTTGGGATGTTTCAGTTGTAGGTGCATTTTACGTGCATGTTTTACTTCAAGACGCCGTTTGAATTTTAGCAAGGGGTTTGCCCCCCCACGTTTACCTTGCAGGGTGTTGCGCTCGCTTACATGCTTGCAGCTTACAGTTCTCAGGTTCGTGTTCGTTTGGGGGTGACGTGTTCAGATTTCTTCTTAAGGTGATAAAGAAAGTTAGGAGATTTCTCCGATTTCAGCATGGCTGCTATTGCGATGCTTCGTATTTTAAACTGCGACACTTTCTGCTCGTGCTACCACGGAGTCTCTTCGGTCAGCTGGCAACGCTGCTATCACCTTAGGATAGGCGGTGTCTGTTTTGCGTAAGGCGTAAAGTCTCGAAACCTCAGCACCAAAAAATTGAAGATGCACCTTGTCTACGTTCATCGTCGCTTGCTGGCAGTCTTTCAAAATGCTCACGATTTTTCTATAGCATATTAGACCTCAAGCCAGCTCAAGGGACGGTTCTATGACCTATGCCCGAGCTTGCGCAGGTAAGAGATAAGCACCCAGCCGTTGACAAGAAAGACTTTCGTAATGATGACCTCTAGAGTTTGTTGTGGCCATTGTGAAAGCGTCCAAATCCTCACTCTCGGCCCCATACTCTAGTTCATGCAAGATCGGCTGCAACAGGGGCCTAACAAGTAGAGACGGTGACGTTCTGACAGGAATAGAATTTGGGCATCTTTCCACAACAGGCTTCACGCGGATCCGACTAAGGGGTTCTGAGAACAGCAAAGGCTCGCGAACGGACGACTGGCGATGGTCGCGCTGATGGCCATGCTTTTCCAGAACGGCACCGTCTACTTGCCTGAGCTGGTTTAGGGTGTAGAGGATGCACGATGTAAAGTGGGGTTCTCCAAAATTTTGGTTTAGATAGCCTCAGGGATGCATGGTATGGGTAAGGATGTTTTTTGGGACACAGGGGTGTCCTGTTGCCAGATGATGTAGTGGTGCCTTGTTTGAAAAGCGCCGAGTCCGAGCATGCATCAAAGCCAACACTGGACTTCTGAAGTTTTGCTAGGAATCCTGGGAGCATGTAGTATGTAGTGGGCCTGAAACCTCGACATCGAGTTATGCATTTTGATCGAATCAGAGGTATCCCTCTCAAGGCTTCTGGAGGGGTTTGTAGGAGCCAAGCGACAGCTAGCTTCAGGCAAGTAAAATCTGATGAAGGTAGGACCTTGATGGGATTGGTTCCTTAGCTCCCTACTGCAGATTTACTACAGATAAATTTGTCAAAGAAATCTGTGCAATTGAATTGAAATCCAGGCATCATGGACAAAACGGTCTTAAGAACCCATTGAATCACGGAAGCAACAGCCCTCAGGTGGGAACAACCGGCCCAGCGATGTGGCTCCCAAGCGCGCAAGCCTGCCGCAGCTGTGGATGCACCGTGCGTCGAGAAAAAAGAGAGGTCTCCGTTTTGTGCGTTAGTCTCCTATTTTAGTGTCCGCATGGTGGGCATTTGCCGCCCTATGAGGGCATGAAAGTTCTGGCACGTACCCACAAGTTTCTGAAAGAACTTTGAACGTTCACCGCTGGGACAGTGAGAAGGGCAGCTTTGTCAGAAGCATTTAGGCTGCATGACTTTTGGATGCACTAGCTCCCAGCTCACCTCACTTCAGACCCTGTCTGCCAAGTACTTGCAGTTGGGTTGAGGGCCACTGGTGTGGAGCTTCCTAGTGCGTGCAAATCTTAAGCAAGTGAGCTCTTTTCAAGCTTTCTTTAGAGCGTTATTCTGGGTTTTGCGACGTCAGAGACTATGTAGACCCACGCCGCTACACCCAGAGTCTAGTCTGCAGGGGTGGCAGCTTTCCGAGCCCCAGTATCAGATTTTTCCACATACCCGTATCGTCCATGGTGTAGGGTTTCAGCCTTTATGGGCTCGGGGTTCTGCAGGAAGCGTGGGCACCCCTCAAATTGCATACATGGTGTTTGGGCAGTAACTGGTAGTTGACGTGGATCTGCAGCAGCCCTCAAGCAGAATAGATTATCTACGAAATCTTCGGTTCCCTTACAACACTGTTTGGGACGGAGTCCTTCCTGGGGGCCTGTCCTACTGGGAGCTCCTAGGAGTCTACCCGATTACACTAGTTGCGGTAGCAACCTCGGAAGCTCAGGACAATCAAGCTGCTCTTATATTGGGGTTATAGATATTCGGGGTTTATATTGGGATAATGGAAAAGAAAATGGGACTGTTATAGTGGGTCATGTAGGGTGTAGGGACCCAAAAGAAGAGGCAAGGGTTCTGACATCAGGCCTCGCCTGATATTCTGCTGTATCCATAATGCAACGAAATATGTCCACAATGGAAGTCCTCCAGCGACCGTACCTTCTTTGTCATTCGAGTGAAACGCCAACTCCCAACTGTAAAAATACACGTGCTCCCTCAGCCAGGTTCACTGTGCTCTCCCTGCATATTCCCAGCATGTGGGAATTTCTCAGAATCACTCCTCCTGCAGGATACCTGATTGGGACCCCATAGTTCCTGCCTGACCCATTTTGAGAACCCCACCCCACATCACAAAAATTTCTCTTGGAGTGCACAAGCTTTCATGCGCTGCTGCTGGTTTCAAGCTTGGGGAGTTCAATTTGTTGTGCACTTTTGGCAGTGGCCTCAAGTTGGCGAAATTAATTTGGGATTGCATGAATAGTTGGAAGCCATAAACTGCATTGTCGGGGATTCTTCAACGCAGCGATCCCGCAATGGTTTTTCTGGAGACGATCGCATGCTCACTGCAGCTGTCAGCATGTGTCCCAGTCTTCTTTTCTGCGTTACATGACCTGTGTGATTATGAAGATCTGAAGAAACGTCAAAGATGGATTGAATTCCTTTCCGTTGCTGCAGTTGTTGACGACGAGAACTTTGTTGATTCAAGTGACTCAGATGATGCTGACCTAGAATCAGGAATGGACCAAGTACAGGTCCAAACTTCTTTTGATGGGCTGGCAGTACGTGGTCACATTGCCACCGGCGGGTCAGGAAAAATCTTGAAGGCAACCTATTCCGGAGAAAATGTGGTGTTGAAGATGGCCAAGCCCGGCATCAGCCCTGAAGAAATGCACGAGGAAGCTGCGACTCTGGCGAGGATAGGACGCCATCCTGGGATCATTCGAATGTTTGGCATGATAATTACCCCGCACATGACTGCAATTGTGCTGGAGCTCATGGATGACACCCTTGCCGAGGTTGCCAAGCACAGTAGTATCCCAGCATGTGCCATGGAGAACATTTTGCAGCAGCTATTGGCCGCCTTAGAGCATTTGCAAAAGAGGCTTGGCTTCATCAGAAAGATTTTTGGGTTTTCCTCATGTTGTTGGGTGCAGGTTTGTTTGATTAGCGAGCAACGAAACCAAACTGCTCCGTTGCATTTTTTTGGGGGTCGACAATGACCAAGGAAACGTGTTATCCATCGAGACGTGCGAGCAGAGAACATTCTTATGACGCAGGCGCTCTGCGCGAAGCTAGTGGATTATGGGGATGCTGTTGGTCTCCCCTTGGTCTCTGACTGCATAGGCATGGGCGGAAGCCCTGCTTTCTGGCCGCCAGAAGGTGCTTCCGTTTCCGTGCTGGATTATAGGCGGGACCATCTACTCCCTCGGAGCTACAGTCTAGATGTATGTGCAAAATGAGGATCTGAATGGTCGTTGCCATTGGATGACGCTGGCCCTGCCGTGGCGCCCTTACGCAGCGCAGGTTCTGGAGAGAACCCGTGACTTGGGGCAGCCCGAAGAGCGACCCCGAAAGCGACATCGCGCACTGTGAAGGCTCGCATTTAAAATGATACGATGGGAATGATATCTCGAATAACTAATGGGATTTGATATGAGCTTTGGAAAGAAATATAGGCGCCCGACAGAAATTTCTATGATTAACAAAAGATATTCTCGTGATTCAGGATATATCGATAGAGAGCTTATGAAAGGATAGGCATTTAAAATTGAGATACGACGATATGACGGAAAATTGTTCCTATCTCGAGAGCATAGGAGATCTTTTTTTGATTAGGAAAAATTCATGATAATAGGAAGGTCATGAGATGAATTCTTTTCGAATTGTATCTATAAATTGGATATTCTTGATATTTATTCAATAGATTTAATTATGATAGGAGAGGTTAATTTGGCGAAAGATTAATTTCTGAAGGAAGAATTTGAGATCTTCGTTTTACGGAGAAATAATTTGGATAGGATAAACTCTATTTTCAGAATTTTGGTCTATTTATTATATTGATAAAATATTTGTTTATTTGTTTTTTTTTCAAAATATTCGAGCAAATAATTTGGAGAAAAATTGATATATATCTGAAGCTCGTATATTTTATTAATATTCATAAATGGAAAATTCTAGAAGTTAAAAAAAAAAATCTTAGATTTGAGATTCTATTTTCTAAATTTGATTAAGTTTTAATTATATATTGGACGATAGAATTTCAAATTTTTAGAGATGCTTATATTATAGATAATTTTTTTCTCTGAATCTAAATGAGATAATATTGGGGTATTGATATCTGCCGAAACAAAGAAGACTAAGAATATTGAGATGATAAGAAATGAGAGGAATGATTCTCTGAAAAAGATAGAGACGATTTGAGATTTGAGAAAATGATTCTTGAAAGATCTTATTAGGAATATATTTTTGAGATTTGGAGATTCATTTCTCTAAAAATTATTTCTAAGGTCTTTCTTGCGATCTGAAATTTGAGAATTTGATTCTTTAAAAGATATTTTAAGGAGATAAGTCCTCTCTCTATATTATATTCTTTGGCCTTGATCTTATGAGATCTCCGATTTCATGATTAGATTATTTAATTCTTATCTTTCGAATTTTCTATTTTTACGATTAGATTATTTGTATTCTTTTAAAGTCTCTCTTTTTTTTTCCTCTATGCTTAGATTATTTGTCTCTGACCCTTCAAATTCTCCGTTTTTACGATTAAATTATTTGCCATTGATCTTTGAATCTCTCTGCTTTCGTAATTAGATTCTTTCCCTCTTATTCTTCAAAATCCTTTATTCTTACGATTATCCTTCAAATATTCCATTTTCATAATCAGAGTCTTGCCTTCTTACTCTTCAAAATTCTCCGATATGAAGATTAAATTCTTTGCCTCTATAAGCATATATTTCTATTGTATGAATGAAATTTCATGATTATGAATGAAATATCGACCGAATTTCGAGGACGCTCGGCAAGAAAACGCGACTTGGAATGAATAATCAACGGAATTTTCCCAATGATCCGTGGGGGAGCATGATTTCTTTTAAAATAATCAGGCCATTCCGCAAACGAATACGATTTTGAACGATAAAACGATGAAATTTCAAGGATATTCCGCATAAGAGCGCAATTATATTAAAAATTTTCAGGATATTCCGCACGAGAATACGATTTCAAATCAAAAAAGGATGAAATTTTCAGGATACTCCGCCCAATAACGCGTTTTTTTCTAAATCATCAGGATATTCTATATGCGAACGAAAATTTCTGAAAATATTTAAGAAATTCCGCACGAGATCCGCATTTTTCGTCAAGATTTTGAGGATATTCCGTATGAGAACGCGATTTTTCTCAAAAAATTGAAGATATTTTGCACGCGAGCGATTTTCATATTCCATATAGGAACGCGATATTCGTCCTAATTTTCAAGATTCTCTATTAGATCGTTTTTCATGAAAAATTTCAGGCCGCACCGCACGAGAGGACGATGTTCGTCAAAATAAGACGGTCTTGGACGGAACGATTTGATATAGAATTGGTATAGGATCTATCTCGCAAATGATGCACGACGATTCCGAAACAATCTATTCCAATCCTAGAAAAATTCCATCTAATTTCTTTCTCTTGAATCCGGAAATTCGTCTCGAATGATATCCGCTTGATATAAGATTGATATAGAAATATTCGCTCTCATCGAATATAAATAATCATTTTTGTTGAATGCTCCGCATAGGAGCGTAATTTTGATTGATTTTAAGGGCAATAATCGATTGTCTTTCGAATATATCTCGACCGGGAGCGAGATTTATGAAGATAAGTAATCAAAATTTTCCGAGTATTCCCGCACGGGAACGTAATTTTGATCGATTTCGATAGAAATAAATCAACGAAATTTCGAAGATATCTCGAGCGGGCGCGCGTTTTTTGAAGATACGAATATCATCAAAATATCCAAAAATCGAATTATTTCGTATGAGAAACCAATTTTTGAAAATCCAATATCCGGAATATTGAAGATGATTTGTACGGGAAGGGGATTTTTGACCATCGGAATATATCCAATTCGCGATCGATCTCTCCTCTCAAGAATATTTTATGATCATATCTTATATTTTTTTATGATCGAAAATCGATTAAAAAATAACGGTTTTGGGAGAGAATCCCTTCAAAAAACGCGCTCGCGCTCGAGACGTTTTCAAAATTTCGTCGATTTATGCTCTCAAGAGAGAGATTCTAGGAAGATCATTTTAATATAAGATTAATATAGGATTCGTCGGATTCGTTATTCGAATTCTATATATTTAAAAAAATGATTTCTATTCCAATTCTATTTATTGAATAGATGATCGATTCAAGTTCGTATTTTTTTGATCAAAATCGCGTTTTCTCCGCCTCATTCATCTCTCTCTCTGATTGCGGGGTGCCGGTCTGCAGTGTAGGTCTGACGGTCTTTCTTCTGCGGAAATGGTTGCTCTCTCGTCCGACCGAGAGAATATTGTCTGAAATCTATCTAGCTATCTATTTATCGGTCTTGCAGTCTATCTATCTATGTAGCCAGCAATCTAATATAGAATATCCGGTCCGTCGAATTATCAATCTATCGGTAAGTCTTTCCGTATATTAGTCTAATTATTTTCTAAAGATCCCCCAAATTTATCCATCGTTCCATCTGCCGTCCGTGCGTCGCCCTGTCCATCAGATAATTTATTCGTGACTAAATCTATCGGTCTTATGACTAAACATCTACGCATTTTTTTTTTATTCCGTACGCTCTTATAATTTGTATTTAGATATAGAGCATATTCTATATAGAAACGCGAGTTTCAAGACGCTCCGCACGATAACGTAATTTTGATTTAAAAAAAGAGATCTTGCATGAATCATTTTGATATAGAATCGATATAGAAATTATTCTTTAAATAATAATAAAATATTCAATTTTTCATGAGAATACGATTTTTCTCAAAACCTTCAAGATTTTCTAAGAACACGATTTTTCTTAGAATTTTCAAGACGTCCCGCATAAGCACGCGACGTTAAGCAAAAAAAAAAGTTTTTGAGCGGATCATTACCGCACGAAATCGCGATTTTCGTTTAAATCTTGAAGATATTCCGCGCGAGAACGCGATTTTTCTCAAAATGTTCGAAACGTTCCGCGCGAGAACGCAGTTTGTTCCCAAGAGAGCGACCTTGAACGGATTATATTAGTATAGCATTGATCTAAAAATCTTTCTTTATATGATTTGGATTTTCTCATGACGATTCCGACGAATCTTATATGCAAATGTTCTCTCAAGAAATTGCTTCTTCAGAAGATAGATCGACTAAATTTCGAAGAATAGGAGAGCGATTTCTGAAGATTGAATTATCCAAATTTTCAGCGACGGGGGGTGGAAGAGGGGGATACGTTTTCGCGGGCCCCCCCCCCCCCCAACCAAAATTTCAGAGGCTTGAAAGCTCCTGGCTTTCCGAAAGGCTCTCGGGATTTGTAGAGCCATATACTATGGAGGGGGGAAGACATGAAGTTTTCGCCTGCGAGCTTCCGAGGACCTTCCGCGA